AATGTGCCAAAATAAAGACTCATGATAGTTTTTTAATATTATAAAACTAGTTTAGGGAAAATATAGTGGTAATTATTTGAGAGTGTAAAGATATTTAATCTTATTTTTATTTATAAATTAATCGTTTAGTGTGCCGTTTTGTTTTCAATGGGAACTTTGGTACCTCTAAACGAAGATGATATTTACGGAATTAATACGATGTTTGATACTTTTACTCAATTTAGCCATTGCGAGTTCACTGTACGAATTAACTCATCTTTGGTTCCAGAAGATCTTCCAAAAAATATTAAAGTGATCGATGAAAATGAATTTATAAATCAACAAGAAATACTCGGTAATTTACCTTGTATCTCCCAAATTAGAATAAACTAGGAATACATTTTTCAAATACAGTTAAAAATTGAATAAACTTTAACGGAAGATTATAAAACCGAACCTCTATTGGTTAGCATTCTATGTGCACGACATTCCATTTTTTAAAAGAAGGTTGGCTTCAAATAGGACTCAGATTATGTTAGTCACTCACTCATTAATGAACAGTTAAATTTTTTGGGTCTTCCGCTTTCTTTCCACTTTTTTTTATTTTCACCCGCTTTCCGTTTTCCGCTTTTTAAAATTCCAAATTATCCAGCCATGCTATATACAATCTATTTTGTTGACTAAAATCATTTAAATTAAAACAGCTCAACCGAACATGAAATTGTTTATCAATCATTGTGGTCAAAATAGCGTTAACGAGGTAAATAAAATAAAATTACATTCTGTAATTGCAGTATGAACCAAAAGCTACTAACGGCATTTAAATCATCATAACTTTTATTTTACATTGTTAAATTAAAAAAAAATTTTATTTAAAAATGATAACTTATTTTTTCGTAATTTTTATGAAATATAGGTGTAAAATAACTACCTTATTCTCCATAAAAAATTCACTATAAAGTGACAAAGGATTAAATTTAAATGCATAAAAATATGCGTTTTCAGAACATTTTAGGGTATTTCAAATTTTGATGAGTGTTTATCTAAAGGGGATTTTTCTGGGAATTGAGATAAAGTGTATCCTTTAGCAAAATTTATTTATTGATTAGAACTTTATGAAATAAAAAAATCTAGTATGGGTTATCGGTATGCTACTCACTGTATACATCTTTTTATGATTTTTTGATTTTTGTGTAGTCTGAAATCCGCCCTACAAATTTTTTTAAAATTAATAACGATTCTTTCGTTGATCAGCCAAAAATTCAAATTTTATTAATAAAATTCCATAATGTATATTTATAAAATATTTATAGGCAATGTATGCAGGAGTTCCTCAAATCTGTATTCCTTACCATACTGAACAAGAATACACCGCAGCTATTGTTCAAAATTTGGGAATTGGTATATGGGTTAATCGTCAGAACCTTGCTAATCAAATCTTCAATGCATTATATCAAATATTGCCTCATCCTGGATATGACCCCAGTTATTCTGAAAAGGCTTGGAAATTACGAGGAAATATAATTAATGATTTTCATCACTACAGCCAGACAAAGAAATTTTTAGATATTGTTGATCGTACAATTCGTCATTGAGAAGAGGGAAAAATTTTATTTTAAATTTAAAGAAACAAAATTATGGGAAAAGGATTCAATTATTTATGAATAGGGCTCGGATTTATATTGAAATAAAATCGCAAAATATGGCCATAAAATATTGAAATAAGTGGGCAAAATATTGACAAAAAATGCCAAAAAATAGTGAAATATTGAAATAAATTTTCGTTTAGTCACTAGAAAACCCCCCAAAAAAGTTGAAATTTAACAAAAAAAACGAATCATGTTTATAAAATTTCACATTAGCATATTTGAGCTTCTCTCGTATTTGAGCTTCTCTCGCCATAATATATTCAGGAAAAAAAAATATATTTCAATACAAATCCGAGCCCTATTTATGAATAGTTGGATAATTGTGGGCTGGCGCAATTGTAAATTGTCGGGGTTTTATTTTTAGAATTTAGACGTAGTTTCGAAATTTGAGTTCAAAATTGAAGACATCCTTCATTTAAAATCATCCTTTGAAGCATTTAAAAATTTTTTAAGCAATTTTCATTATACGGTTATTGTTAATGAAAAAATCAAGTTGCGCCAGCCCTGATTGGTTATGTTTAGCAATTTTGAGTATGGGTTTTTAAGAACTTTTCCTAACATTATTATCGGAACGTCCCACTTCAGTCCCTGGCCATTTCAGTCCCGAGCTTGTAACTCGGGAATTTGGAAATAATTTATTAAACTTTTAGTATCATTGGATAGAGAATTAAATTCTCTACAAAATGATACCAAATATAAAATAATCTTATCAACTGATAATAAAGTTATTATCAAAAAACCGCCATTTTTAAAAAAAAGTCTTTTTTTGCATGTTTTTTGATCATAACTTTGGTACCTGTCGATCAAATTTTTTGATCAATAGCTTATTTTGTAGCTTAATTAATCCTCTATCGAAGATACCAAGAGTTCCAAAAACTACTCGAACCTTCTCGAGTTATAGAGCTCGGGACTGAAACGTCCCGGGACTGAAGTGTCCCCTACCGCATTATTATATGTATTATTTTCTTTAGTTTTTTAAAATTAATTTAACTTTTATTATTTTTTACACAATTTTATACCATTTTTAATTATTTTTTTTGCTATCACGGATGGGACTGGTCATCCAGGCCGGTCACCCAATACCCGGCCTTTATCGACCCACTACTAGAAAAATTTTAATACCTAACCCAATCCGACTTTTTTTCGACTCGTCCCATCCGTATTTATTAACTTTATTTCTTTTATTTTGGATTAAACATAACAATGGGGAAAATTTCATTGTGTTTTTTGAATTATTTTTAAAGTTTATGCAATGGGTTATGAAAAATTTTGACAAATTCCACAACTTTAGATTGAGAAAAATAGGAATTGTTCGTAATTTGGTCGTAATTTCGCTATTTTCTCACGAGATTAATAAAACATCATTTAAATTTCCTTTGAAATTTTCCAAAATCCATTATGAAAGTTAACTTATAATAGCTTATTTTCCATAATAAATCGATTGCGCTCAGCCTTGATCAAACCAGAATTATTTTTAATTTAACTTTACTACAAATGATATGAGGGTTTATCAAATATCCAGCCCTTTTTAAACCCACGTTTCAAAAATTTCCCAAACCCTACAATAAGCCTAACTTTTTCTTAACCAGTCCCATCAGTGTTAATTACCTATATCTCTTTTGAATTAGATGTATCTAACGAGATACGAAAATTTGAAAGAGAAAGAAGTCTCATCAAGATATCTCACACTCTCATCAAGATATCCAATAGACTAAAGTAAAAAACTAATTATTTTTTGTTGACATTAAAGTAATTATTATTGTGAAATTTAATTGCTTTTGTAAGTTATTTTTGTTTATGCATTAATCCATTAGCATGTTGGCATGCATACGGATTATAGATTTTATTTTTTTTATTCATTCAAAAATTCTAAAAAATCCCATGAAAGGGAGTCATTGCAACGTTGGTTAAAATAAATTTTTAAAATTTTAAAAAATTATTTCCGTTTCATTTAAATTTTTTGTTTAGTTAGCCGTTCTGAATAAATTGAAGTTTTTTAATTTAAATAAAATTTCGTTTATTAAATAAAATTTTCAATTCTAGAAAGATGTGAGGGATGTTTCGCCGTTAACTAAATTAATTAAATCCAATAATCTTTTCTAAAAGTTATAGACTTGTTAAGTTTAATATCTTTTAACTAGAGTTGTTGGCGACCGGTTATTAACCGGTACCCCCGGTTTTCGGTTAATCTAAATTATAGAAACCCGGTTTTCTGTTTTGAGTTTTAGGCAAATACCGGTTTTATTTTGGGGGAATTTTAAATAGAATCACTCATTTTTACAAATTTGCGGTTTTCGGTTTTTAAAATTTTCTAAAAACGGTTAATTTTTGATAAAAAATTCCAAAAATTCTACTACTTTTAACTAGAGTACGGAATTTCATACCGTACCTTATGCCGTACCATAATATCAAAAAAGACCAATAACGATAGAAATTTATCGTTTATGATTTGTAGGGATATAATAGTGGGGATAAGAAGGTAAGTCAGGATATGCAGGATTAAGTTTATTTGGAGGGCATCAGAGGATTTAAAGGGATATCGTTAGATTTAGAAAGATATCGGGAGATTTTGATGGTACTTAATACAATTAAATACCAGAAAATACCGTCGGTAGCTATCTATTTTTACACCAAAATGTCCATTTATAAGTATCAATTACGTAAGTATGAGGGCCGATTTGTAAGTACTGTACATTCAAAATAATTCCTAATCCGAGCCTCGATTATATTATTTAAAACTTAGAATATTTCTGTTTCAAAAATGCAAATAAACGTAATTAAACAATGCAAAGTCTGTGAGGCAACAGAAAATGTTTATTTTCATTATGGAGTTTGTACATGCAGGGCCTGCGGGGCTTTTTTCAGGTATTTTATTTGTTTAAATTTTTCTTAATACATAAAACCACAACACTTGTACACCAGAGATGAGCTCTTCCGCATTTTTACTAAAGAGTTACCGTGGTCCGAGTTACCGTGGTGAAACCTGTGCTTGGGCTCTCATACCAACATTCGTACTCGTACCTGGTACGAATTACGAGTACGGACTAAAATAAAAAAAAGCATTATTAAGTATGAGGTATCAGCTAAAAATAGGGTTAACTTATTCGAGCGGGTGGTTGAGTGGTGAAGATGTCCGAGATACCGTGGTTTGCACACCTAAGTCATTGATTAGCACATGAGCTTTTATTAAGAAGCGTTGATTTAATTAAAAAATTTTTCAAAAGGCGTTATATTGAAAACAAAAATAAATGCAAATACGGTAACTGTAAATGTTTGCCGGAGCAAGTGTCAAAAGGGAATAAAGATGAAAGACCCAAAACAAATTTGGCAAAATGTAAAAAATGTAGACTTGAAAAATGTCTTTCTGTTGGAATGAAAAGATTGGGTTTGTTAAAATGTTTAAAAATAATTTTTAATAAAAAATTATTTTAGATGTTGGATATGTACGTCAAGATGTATGCCGGAAAGAAATGGAAAAACAATGGAACGAAATTAACGTAAATTTACATAATTATTCCATAATTTTTTATACTATTATATTATCGCGAGAAGAATTTCATGGAGATATTACAAATCCCGAGTAATATCAACAAATACCAAGTATTTACAGAAATCGTAGATTTTCCATAAGCATCACTGTATTATCTCTTTGCCTATTTATTCTTATCTTAATTAATTTATTCTATTTTTTAATATTATTGTATATTATCACTTGAACGGTCTATAGCAAACACATTATTAAATAATTTAAATTCCTACCAAGGATCTAGCCGATCCGATTCTTGATACTCAAAAATCTGTTTTTATCGGGATCCGATTTCCCGAAATCGTAAATTTCATTTGTATGTCGGCTAGATCATTGATACCTATATACATATGGAGTATATTCATGAAGATATTAACAATTCCAAGTTATATCTACCAGTGCCAAGTAGTAGATATAGCTGGAAAAAGTACATTACCGTACTTTTTCATGTTCTTAAAATAAAGAATTCTGACTCTTTGCCTACAAAATGTTGCTAAACTTATTCTTTTAAAGCTTCAAAATCATCTAATTGTCGATATATCCATCAATGATCAAAACCAAATAGATTTAATGTTACCAATTATTGAAGCCAAAAAACGTATTATGCATTCATTTAATGATTTGGATGATATATTTCTTCACGGACCAATTTTGTTTGAAGAAATAATTTTATCTAATTTTAATATTTTTCGTTTAGTTGATCATTTTTCGGTAAATTTTTATTTAATTTTTAATAAAAATTTTGATTTAAAGCCAAATCCATGTCCTATATCTTTTGACGAATTAAAAAGTTGGGAATCTTCATTTCAGAATGAAGGAATGTTAAATAATCGTTTTTATAAATTTATTCTAGTTGACAGACTTTTGTGTTTTGGTATAGCTAAATCTATGCCTGTTTTTGAAAAATTGACTTTATCTGGGGCCTATTTCAATTGTCCACAGATTCTGCATTCTGTGCACAGAACACAGATTCTGTGGAAATTCTGTTTCAATTAAATTCTGTGTGCACAGAATCTGTGGTGCCCGCAGATTCTGCGGAAACATCCAATGATTCTGTGGAAACATTCCGCAGATTCTGTGGATGAAAATTTCTGTGGAAAATATAAAAATCTGTGGATTTTTTCCACTGATCCACAGAATTTGTATTTCAATTATTTTTCTGTGGTTCTGTGTATTTTTTCTTCTAAATTCAAATTTTTTATTTCCGCGTTTTTGAAAATAACAGTTTTATTGAAACGAAAAATGGTTTGGACAGTTCGGTACTACCGCAGTATTAATGGTACCTGATTTTTTGAAGTAAAACTTTAAAAATTCTTAAATTAAACTGAAAAATATTGTAAAGATTTAAAAATTTTCCCTCCAAATCACATAACATCCCTTTAAATCTCTTTGATATCACTTTAAAACCGCTGATATACCGCTTAATTTTCTTGTTCATCCAATATCCTTAAATCTCCAATTAAATTAATGTCCTAAAGCAGGGTTCGGATCGGAAAAATCAGGAGATGTCGATCCGACATGTGGCTTTTTCAAACTACGATAGAAGTTGTTGCAAGGGAGGGAAATGTTTGGGGATTGTTTAGTCAGAAATTGAGGTTCCTGGAAATCGAAAATGCCTGGAATCCAAAATTATAGTCAAATCGGAACTTTAAAATCGTAGAGGAGTGATTAAGTGGGATATCCATTGATTTTGAGGTTTAATATATTGGAGTGATTAAGGAGGAAATCTATCATTAAATAGGAGGAGAGATTATGACGGATATCAATGAGAGATCATGGGAGATATCCCAGTATACGCTATACAGATATATTCTATAGATCCTGGTAAACATCCCCTCATTAGAGATATCCATGATGATTAGAACATCATAGCTCTAAATTTCAGAATCTCTCACGTTTTTTATTTTTTTATTGCTTGAATATAACAAAAACTGCGTAAAAAAGATGTACCTTTTTCAAAATTAATTTTAAGCAATAATTTTAGGTAATAAAATTATAATTTTTATATCAAAAAATAGAGAATGATTCAAACTTTAATAATCTTTAAAAATTTTGAAATTTGGTTAAGCCTAGGCCTAGAAAAAAATTGTTAAAGTTTTTCCACAGAAAGTTCGCAGAAAAAATTTTAGGGTGGATTTTTTAAAGAATTCTGTGTATTTTCCGCAGACCACAGAAATAATTGAAACAGAAATGCACAGAATCGACTAAAAAAGCCACAGATCTGTGGATTTTTTTCTGTGCACAGAAAAATAATTGAAATAGAATTCTGTGGTTTTTGCATGTTTTTGGATGTTTTGCAGAATCTGTGGATGTTTCCACAGATTCTGTGCATGTTTCCACAGAATCTGCGGACTTCTTTTTCCGCAGAATCTGTGGAATAATTGAAACAGAATTTCTGTGGTTCTGTGGTCTGTGCACAGAACGCAGACCGCAGAATCTGTGGACAATTGAAATAGGGCCCTGATCAGGTGTTTTATGTAAATTTATTTTAATTTTCTTGTAAGAGCAATTTAATATTATGCTCGCTCAGAATAGTTTAAAAGAAAAAATTATCCTCCCTTGGTGGTATTTTGAATTTTGAGCAAGTAATTGAATTTGGAGAGCTCGTTATACCACTAATTCTTGAAAGGGTTCTGTCCTGTAACGACCTAAATGAGTAAATCGACGGAAATCGAAACTGTAGAAATCTTCTTGAAGAAATCTTGTTCGAAACTGCAGAAAAATTCTTCGCAATTTGACCTACCACTTTTTGAACTTTCAAAACTTTATTTTTTTAAATAGATTAAACATCTAAGGCATATTTCTTATTTGTTTACTGCATTTACAAGCAGCTACCTAGCTTGGGAATTAGGCTCTGAAACTTGGACACGTAAAGATAATGTTATGCCTGCTCTTGGTATTGCGAAGAATAATGCATTTTTACATGATGATAAGTAAATTTTATTCAAAAAATTAAAAAACTTTTTGTCTTAAATTATTAAAAATATTTATTTACTTTTTAGGATAATTAAATGGGCAGATTATTCATTTACAAAATCTGTCGCTCATTTTAAACGTGCTACATTAGCAAACGTTGAATATGCTTTGTTGGTGGCAATTATTTTTACTAACTCACGTAAACACTTTAGTTAAATTATAACATCATAGTACTTTACTATTCAATCAGTTTTTGACCATAATTTTGTTATTCTAAAACACAAATTAAAAAGGATTTATAATTCCAATTTAAATTTTCGAAGTTTTTTCATAAGATTTTCGATTTCGACTTTTTGGGGATATTTCAATTTTTGATATTTTTCAAAAATTTGTTCTTTTGGCGCCAAAATGAAGAAATACCGTATTTTTCCCAATAGAAGCGCACGTCCCATTTGAAGCGCACGTCCCAATAGAAGCGCAGTCTACGAGGAGGTTGAAAAATACAAGCGCAGGTCCCATTAGAAGCGCAAGTCCTATTATAAGCGCACCCTATGAAATACTTATTTGAGCAATTATTCTGTTAAATTGTTACTATTTTAAACAAGTATTATTCATTTACATTTATTTGTTATTAAGAATTTACACTTTTTTATAAAAAATGGATTCTAATTCCGGTTCGGAATCTTCCCTTTGTACTAAACGACCTGATCCCTCTCTTGTCGAAAGATTTAAGGTTTTTGAGTTATAATTTTGGAAAAATTTATTTCGATCTTGCCTAGGAGATGAAGTGGAAAAAGCTGGATGGATGATGCTCTCACAATCGAATATTTGAGAGCAATTATAGGGCAATCATTGTTCTCACAACGCTTGTTTATTTGTGTCCACCACCATGAAATTTAATTTGGGATGGATAGTTGAATCATAAGATGTGATTTCAAAAGAAAATGTTGCAAAAAGCTCTTTTGGGTTTGTGGAATTGGAATTCCAAGTTACGGTTCTGAAAATGATGAAATACATTGTTTTAGACCAGATGACCAGGCTTTATTATATCAAGCTTGAGTGGATAAAGAAATTTCAGAAAGTTAGGTAGAAATAGATCTTAATGAAGATAATGAAAACGGAATTGAAATTGATAATTCTATAGAGATTTAATATTTGTTCTAAATTTCTATAATGTTATAAAAATTAATTCGCATATGAGTTGAAAAATACAAGCGCACGTCCCATTTGAAGCGCACGTCCCAATAGAAGCGCAGTCTACGAGGAGGTTGAAAAATAGAAGCGCATGCGCTTCTATTGGGAAAAATACGGTATGACTCCTTGGCCTACCTAAATTCTCAAACTCTCTACGGCTTTAACTGCATTAATTTTAGTTACGGAAAATACTCTCGATCCAAACATATCCACCCATCCCCCGGCTAATCCTCCATATCCATCCTAATCCCTTAACTAATATTGAGCTATAAAAGGCTAACTGATCGATATCAGATTCACTAAATATTTTCGAAATACTCTAATCATGTGGAGAAATATATCCACAATTTTACTTATCTAGATATTAACTTGGAAAATTTATAAACGCCTAAAAACACCCTCGTTCAACTGCCTATTTCAACTTTTTAAAATTTTAATTTAATTATTTTGAAAGATGGTACAGGCTTGTCTCCTGAAGGAAAAGAATTACTTATAAACGAATCCATTGAATACACAAAAATTTTACTTCGATATAATCAACGAAGATTAGGTTTGACCGAAGGTGCTCAAAGATTGGATGAATGTTTTCGTTTAATTAATGCTTCTATTGAGAATGAATATATTTTGCGGCAAATGCTTTCGGATCAAATTAAATGTAATTCAATGGGTGTAACCAATAATTGTTCAAATTTCGTGAAAAAATTTTTGGAAAAAATTGATTAAAAATATAATAGAACGACGTTGATGTCAGGACCTCACTATTTTACGGCCTCAGTCTCGTATCTTTGTGTATTAATTCCTTTCATTAATACCTCTTTTTTATCACATTACTATAAAATTTATTCTATATAACTGAAATAATATACTAATAAGACCTTGTAATAATTTTAGCACAATTATTATTTGAGGCAGCTGGGCTATAGCTATTTCTCTCTTTTAGCTAGTGCAAAAGGTTATTTGGCGGATGGGAGCGAACCAGCATCTTCAGTAGACCGGACTGATGTGTTAACCATTACACCACGCCGCCTACTGCACAGCCTTAGGAAATTAATAGCTATATGCTTTACATTTGTAACATTATTATTTTTGTGTCTTTTTCTCGCGCATCTTTTTACTATTTTTTTCTAATACCTCAAAAATTTATCTACATAAAAATTATTACTTATCAGTAAATTTTATTGGGCTCGCTTTTTTCTGTGTATAATTTCTGTATCAGTCGGTAAATCTTACTCCTACACAGATTTTATTGATCTCGAGTTGATTCGGAACTAACCACGATAAAAGCAAACCCTATATAAAACAAAAACCCTTAACTCATATATTTTTATTCTAAAATATTTTTTTATAATATACCTATATTTTGTTTATAATAATATTTTTCGAAAAATACTATATAAATTTTCAAAATCTTTTTGAAAAATTTTTGTAAAAAGTTTTTTAAAAAAATATTCTCCTTAAGCAATTTTTACAAAAATTTTTCAAAAAATTTTGAAAAATTATATAGTATTTTTTCAAAAACTAATTTTAATATTTTCTGAAGCAAAATAATTAGAATAAATTGATCCTTTGTTAGAATCTCTCTTTTGATATTTGCTCTATATCTACAATCTTAGCCTTCTATTTTATTTCGTACTGCGATAATTTTTGTGTGTCAGATCACTCGTCTACTTTGTCGACCCCTGGCCGCCTCAACAGCCCACCGTGAAAGAATCCATAGACGGAGGATTTTTCGGTTTGGCTACGGATATCCGAGCAATTTTCAGAACTATTAATAAATAGTCTAATTCTGATTGTTTTTATCTGAAACCTATTTTTATATACATAAGTCTCATTTAATAACTCATTTTATACAATTATCATTAGGAGTTTAGTTAAAGTATGTTCTCATGAAAATTCGAAGGATTTTAGTTTGTATTAGTATATTCAATTAGGATACATTTGTTGATTTGGGCGCGCTATATGTGTTGCATGTGTTACATGCGTCACTTGATTATCTTCCAGTATAAAATTTATTTTATGAATTAATGGTTGGACAGCATTTGAGTGCAGATTTTTGAAGCATTGTACAGTAAAATTAACACAAGCTTTTATCATTTTAAAACAATCACGTCGAATTGTTTTGTTCATTGTTAAGTAAATAATTGGAGGGATTCCTGAAGTAATGTTTTAGATTATTGCTTTGTTATATCTATTATTTAATATTTGAAATAATTTGATTTTTTTATAAGATTAAAAGAGAAAAAGCAGGTGTGGATGCAATTGCGTATTGTGTGTTTGATTGCGTGTGTTTTTGTTTTTGATTGCGTGTGATTGGGTGTGTTTTTCGGATTTTAAAATAAAAATTGCGGGTTGCTGATTGCGGATTTTTAAGATTTTTACGTAATTTTCATGCAAAAACAGGAGAAATCTGGCTCATTTGCCTTCAAATTTTTTAAAATTTTCGCAAGCGGCAAAAGGAAGGTTTCATGAAAATCAAGGAATTTGGACCGTTTCGAAAATAACAGCCAGATCATTTCGGAAGAAGTGTGTTGGGATTTCCTAACAAAGGTATAAGAAAAAGGAGATTTAGAGGTCCACTATCTGTCCTTTTGATAAATCAGACATGTCTCGTTTATAAAAATGTCTACTGATTTTGTTCTGCCACCTTTTCTTAAGTGAGCAGTCATTGAAACTAGCCTTAATACTTTTAAAAAATTTTCCCAGAAACTTTCCTACCGTATTTTTTTTTAATTTTTTGGACAGTGCTTTTTCTAATTTTGCGAGGAGATGAAATTTTGCTAGCGATGAATCTCTTGGAAAAAGTCTAATTTCATTCATACTATGTAAATAATATAAAAATATTTTTGACCGTGTGCATTCAACCAAAAAAATTGACCAAGTATAATAAGAACTTCATCCGAGTCGATATATTGCATATAAACATAAATGGAAGCGCCAAGAATATTAGATAAGCTAATCAAAAAGATTTGAATAAAAATCTTAAATTTAAGGGTTATAACAATATTTAGATTAAAAAACCATTAGTTCAGAATAGCTTTGTTGATTGGAATGTTGTCCTCCTTGTTTAGATTTTAGTACAAAAATTATACAAAATGCTAAGTATGTTATTGTAAGAATAATTATGACTGATATATTGTGGACTGTATGAAAAGTGTTCTCATATTCCTTTTAATAAATTAATTATTTGGAACTAGTGTAATACGCTGTCCCCCGAAACCTAGACCCGACCCGCGATGAATTTTTGAAAAACCCTAACCTCTACCCAAACAAAGCCGACCACCCCCATGCCGGCAAAACCCCGACCCCAACCCCGACTATTTTTTGGCAAAAACCCCGATCGAACCCATAAGTTTCGGGTTTAAACAAAATTTAAACAAATACTTGATCAACATTATCAATATATCCAATGTGCGGATTGAAGAACCAACCAAAGTAGATGCCGGTAAATACATTTGGCCTTGACCATGTAATTATATTTAGACCATATATTATTGGAATGCCTATCCAAAAAAACATTTTTTTGCCTTAAATTTTATTAAAAAGTAAGGCTAGTTTAGTCTATTTTTAACCATTAAAAATTTTCATTGCGAGTTGAGTAGACAATAGTTCAATGCAACGATTAATGGCTAAAATTACCTCCAATGAAGTTTCTGATGTCCAGCAAACTAATAATTATCGAATATATAATATAATTATTAAAAACAAACAAAGGTAATATTCAATTTCGTTCCCCCCTCCTTTTTTGCATCCTCAAAGTATTAAAAAATGGTCAGTCTGATTTAATTTATAGAACTCGTCGAGCTGAGTCGAATGACACCAAAATCAAAAAAATCCGACTTGATTGGACCGAAATACAGACCCCTGAAAATTGAACAACCATAGGGGTGATTTTTTAGAATAAAAATTTTTTATGTAAATGATAGCTCATTCGAAAGAGCTCGTCGAGCTGAGTCGAATGACACCGAAATCAACGTAATCGGACGAGTTTTGACAAAGTTATGGCATTATTTAGACCTACCGGAGTCGGCAACCTTATGTCATAACTTTGTCAAATCAAGTCGGATCACGTCGATTTCGGTGTCATTCGACTCAGCTCGACGAGCTCTTTCGAATGAGCTATCATTTTTATACTTTTTCGTCTTTTTAGTATTTCGCTCCCGTGGTTGTTCAATTTTCAGGGGTCTGTATTTCAGTCCAATCAAGTCGGATTTTTTTGATTTTGGTGTCATTCGACTCAGCTCGACGAGTTCTATAACTTAAGTCAGACTGACCATTTTTTAATACTTTGAGGATGCAAAAAAGGAGGGGGGAACGAAATTGAATATTACCCGAAATTTTCATAAATTTTTGGATAGATTTATTAATGTTGCTACGTAAATATATTAAAGTGCCAGACGTAAATAATTAAACAAATACATTTTTTTTATAATTAACTGGTACATATTTAATAATCTTAAAAATAAAATATTAGAAATATGTATTTTATAATGATAAAAGTATACGATAGAATGTACGGATTAATTGCATAATTAAGAAAATTGTATTTACCATATATTTGAATTAAATTTTTTGACAAAATACAGTAAATATATTAGAAATTTTAATAGAAGAGGTAACTTTTAAAAAATTTCGGTAAATGACATTTTTTCAAAAATTTTTTTTTCCGTTGGAATTTTTGATATTTATCAAAAATTCCATTACCAAATAATTTTGTGGCACTATACAATGCAGTTTACTTAACGAAATTTCGATTTTTAGGGGGTTTTCTTTGGGCCACGATAAAAAATATGATTTTTTGTGCTAAATCCAATGCTTTTGACTTGCAAAATTCTCAAAATTTTCACCTGCGGCGCAGATTTAATATTATTTTTGAGTTGTCTGTGACAAACTTTCACCACTAATTTAGTAAAAATTTCAGTTACGGAGACGGATATATTGGTTAACCAAAATTTTTTAAATAAAAATTGCTCGGCAAAACAAAAAAAATATTTTTTCTGTCTTTTCAAAATTAAATTAAAAATGCCAATTTTTACACTTTATTTTTAAATTTATAATATTTTCTAAAGCCTAAAGTTTTGTTATATTGTAAGGAAAACAATTCTTTGAATTAATCTGTATGGAAACATTTAAAATTCAAATTAATACTTAGTAAGTTTTTGAAGAAAAAAAGGTGAAATTTTTCGGCGATTTGAATTCCCAAAATTACATTGCCAAAATGTCTTCATTTATTTCCTTTTCGACAAATACTTTACGTATTTGGTTTTACTAGAAAAACGAAAAAAATCTAGAATTTCTTTATCACGCTTTGTGGGAACAGAAGCTGAGTGGTAAAGTCTTCTTTGTCAAAAAGTTACTGATAAGTTGGAGTTCGATTCCTATTGTTGTAAGACATTTTTGGAATTTTTCTTTTCTTCATTAATGCCTCTCAATGGATATGCCACAGATAAATTAGGAGAAATTGAGGTAGGAAATAAGGCTGACCATTATTACAACTTAAGAAAAAATGAGAACCAAAATGGGAGGGGGTGGTACACTCTGTCAGAAAACTATAAACGCAGGTCAAAATTTTGTCCTAAATCCTATTTATCTACAGTATATATTTAAATTTCTATTTTTAGCCTTTATAATAAAGTAGTTGATTAATTTCTAATTGAATTTACTTGAAATTTTAGTGTTTTTCGAAGTATTTTTGACTTTTATCAGAATCAACTGTCAGAAAACTATAAACGCACTCGTGATTTTTATAACTAAAAACAATCAAATATGGATAATTTTATATTTTTATAATGAGTTATCCTTCCTTTATTATAAATAAAAAAAATTAGGGCCATATCTTTACTAGAAGTCGAGATCCAGATACCTCGAAAATCAACGTAAATAGGGGGTAAAGCTCTTTAAAAAATATTTTCGACCCCTTATAGTTTGTTTTAAAATTCCATTTTAGGCTCATTAGAAAGCCCATAAAATTTGCTACAAGAAAAATGGATGTTGTATTTCAGAGAAAAATTCATTAGATAGATATAGACCGTTAATTGCCCGGAGCTAATTTTATGGGGCATCTAGGTGTTTTTCTCTGCCTTAAAGATTTAAAACTTAATAACTTTCTGAAATATTTTTTCTAGAAAATAAAACTATGCTATCTTATAGCAAATTTTAAGGGCTTTCGAATGAGCCCAAAATGGAAATTTAAAACAAACCATAAGGGGTCGAAAAGATTTTTTAATTAGTCTTACCCCCTATATACGTTGATTTTCGAGGTATCTGGATCTCGACATTGAAGTGAGATATGGGTCTAATTCTTTTTTATTTTTAATAAAGGAGAGATAACTCTACAAAGAAATATAAAATTATCCATATTTGATTGTTTTTAGTTATAAAAATCACGAGTGCGTTTATAGTTTTCTGACGGTCAATTCTGATAAAAGTCAAAAATACCCCGAAAAACACCAAAATTTCATGTAAAAAGTGACTTAACTTATTTTTGTAACTTTATTATCTAGGTTTAAAATAGAAATTTAAATATTACTACAGAGAAATAGGTTTTAAGACAAAATTTTGACCTGCGTTTATAGTTTTCTGACAGAGTGTATATCCATAAGTTAGCAATATTCTTTACTTTTTCAGAAGAATTGCACAATAATTATTACGCTTTTTTAATTTTAACACGAAAATTTTAGATAGATTTTTAATGTTGCCAAGTGCTTTTTAACTTGCCGAGATACTTAAATAATTACGCTTGATAATAACTATATTGCACTTTTTATAATTAAGAAAAAAATTATATTTAACTAAATGTGAAATGAGAATTTACCACAAAATACAATAAAAATCTTTAAAATAATGTCGACAAAATAAAAGAAAATGTACCAAAACGTACGGAAAAAATGTAAATGTATACAATTAAAAATAATTATAATCAAAATATTTTCAAAAATTTAGTTGGATTGAGGCTTTAATTGGATAGAGTAATGGGCACTTAAGATTTAATTGGTTAAACAATTTGCGTTATTTCGCATTTAGTTTCAAATAGTAAATTTTTTGTTAAATAACTATTATTTACGGTAGGTTAAAATCCGGTCCGTATAAAAATGAAATTAAAAATCTAGAAACACGATCCGGCATTTTTCAAATTTCGAACACTGGTCCCAATATACTTGTTCCATTTACTTTACATTCAGTGCTCTTTGGAGCCTCACTTGACCCTACTTTATATAAAATGTTGTTTCTTTCGGAATTTCGAAGTTTTAAAAATTCGACTCTTGTCGCTAACAGGGAAAATCTTGCTTATTAGTAGGGCTCGGATTTTTAGGTTATAACCTATTTTTTCTGCGAAATAGTTATGATGAATTGAGCATTTCATGAAATAATGAATGAAATTACTGCAAGATCGGTGCATAACATTTTAAGAATAAATTAAGAGTTTATGGGTTTTTAGGGCGATAATGGGGGATTTGGCGGGATTTAGGTGGATTTGTAGGGAATAAAGTAAAGTTTTACACAATGAAGACCTAGTAGATTTTTAAAATTATTATTGATGTACTTATCTTAACGAAAATAAAAAGAAAACAATAGCTTTTACGTAGTCTCATTAAGCTTATATTTGATCAAATGCTGGTTAAATATAATAAAATTGTACAGCTCCATAAGACAATGATATTTTATATAATATTATTTTTGCACATAAAAAATGCCCAATATTTATCGTAAAAATTTAATAAAAATATTTACAAATTTCATTTGTTATTTTATATTTTCTATCAGTTCCGGTCAAGAATGTGCTGATAAAAATATTCCCGGGAGGCCGTCAGACTGTCCAATGTTAAAATATCTTTGTGAACGTCCACTTTATAAAGATATAATGTCTAAAGAATGCCCAAGGTAGATTTTTAAAAGTTGGTTTATCCCAAACTTATAAGGAGTTGACACTCTCTGGAATGTCATTTAACATTTTTATTTTTTTCTTAAATTACAAAATTATCAATTTCGGATAGCGGTGGTAATGAATGATAATGTATGATAATTGTAAGATATAGTAAGAGCGAGGTAAAAGTTTAATTCAGAGCAGGCTTCGATTCTGCGACCTACTGGCAGTTATTGCTAGGCGCTTTTGCTCACCACGTAAACGTTCTCTACCGACTGAGCTACCGGGACGCTGCTAATGAGCGTTTAAGTGAGCATTTTAAATGCTAGCCAACTTGATCTCTTCCTTACAATATTAAATTTTAAACGACAAGTTTCTATGTAATTTTTTATAGAACATGTGATTCATGCGATCTATTCAAAATAAATTTATGTTCTGACAATATTGGTCCAAGCGGTATTTCTGAATGTCCAAAATTCAAAGAACGCTGTAATGACAAAATATGGGGAGATTTTATGAGAAAAGAATGTCGTTTAACTTGTGGAACATGCAAACAATTTATCTATTATTTAGAAAATGATTACGAAAACAAATCAAAAATGAAGATTAAAAAAGAAAAAATCGGAGCAGGTAAAAATATCTCTTTTTTACATAA